TATTAGTTTGTCCCCAGTATTGTACCAAAACATCTTTTACAAAGGTCATCACTGACATTTCTGCTGCCAGGTGATTGGTCATTGCTGACTTCATTACCCACCCATCTAACCTTAGTTCAAGCATTTCCCTGACTCTGCCTGAGGGCGTGGATATGTGTGCTTCATTCTTCTCTTCGGCCTCCTTACCTGCTGTCCTTCCCTCAACCAATAACACTGAGGCTCCGGGCTGAGTTCTCCTTCTTGACAGTGCTCCCTCTCCAGGCATTATAAACCAAGCCATAGCTTTCAACCCACTACCCAGAACTCCCAGATTTGTTTCCTGTTACTTCCAGATTTATAGACCAAATTTCCACACAGCGCCTCCACCTGTCTATCTATCTGACCTTTTAAAACTGCCTTTTAAAACAGTATTCTGGGTGTCCCTCTTAAATTCTGTAAATGTCGTCTTCGTCCTTCTGGCTGCTCAGGCAAAACTCCTTGGAGTCGCTCTTGACTCCTCCCATACCTCATTTCCAAACCACAGCAAATTCCCTTGAATCTGCTTTCCTAAGTGTTTCTTCCATTCAACCAACCCTCAGCCCTTCTTTGCTGCTTGACTCCCAGTTGCCTCTCACCAGTGACCTTCACAGCAAATCTCCATGCTCTCCTCTTGGACTCCCTATGGCAGTCTTTGAGAGGCTCAGGGTGACCACATGGCCTCATTCCTCTGCCCATAATTCCCACTGGCCAGAGTTTACACGGGGGAAATGTTCAAGTGTCTCCATGGCTCCCAGACCCTCAAAGCCCTAGTAAGACCACAATCCTGCCTCTCTCCCCTCCTTTCTTTCTAGCACACTTCCTAGAATTGCAAGCTGCTCCAGTCAAGCTCCTTTCACTCACTCTCTCTGTCTAGAATGGAAGGTGTGCTCTCCACATCTCCATGTAACCTGAACCCTCACCTCCTCAGAGTGGCTGTTCAGATGTTCTTCCTCGATGAGGCATTCCTTGACTCTGTATAAAAATTCGACTCTTCTCCCTAGATACCCCAATCCTTTGTTCTCCCCCCAGTCACCCTGGTCAGTAACAATTCTGCATCTTATCTTGGATCATTCATTCTGAGGGCTGGCAAATTTGTCTGTTGTAATCATGGACTGAATCTCACTCAGTCTTCCACAGTGCCTGGCATCCAGTGAGTCTTCGTTTGAAGAATGCAAACATGAATGATAGGTATTTGGGCACCTGGAGCATGCCAATCTTTTTTGCTACTAAAACAGATCCTGTAGCAACCAATACCGAGTACTAGCCATTTTGCTTATATGTGACTACATTTGTAGGGAAAATACCTAAAAGTGAAATTCCTGGGCCAAATAGCATGAATGTTCATAATTCTGACTGCTTAAGAGTTTGTATGCTTAAAAAAGAACTCTCCGTAATTCACCATTGTGTGTTGGGCAATGTCCGTGAGAACTGCATGGTACCCCATGATAACCTAGCTTTGTAATTAGATGAAAGCAATGATGAAGAAGAGCTGTCTGGGAATTTCAAGTAGTTCATTAGCCATTAACACCAGTTACTAGTCTATCAGGAGCACTAGTGGGTCATCAACACATCCTGGTCACACAGTCCATCAGATCCACCAGCTCTCTGCTTGCAGACATGGACAGACAGGATAGGTCCTACAGCCTGGATGTTGGAAGAAGTCTGAGAAGAAGGGAGGACCTACCACATCACCTAGCATAGTCTGAAAAAAAGAGTCTGAGATACCCTGGTCAAATTTCCTTGGACTCTGCTCAGGATGTTGAATGGCATGACCCATTGAGATGTTCTTAATATTTTAGCCATATAAATGAAATAGTGGCCATCATTTGATGCTCTGGACAACCACCTGGTACTCTATGGCACCAAGAACTTTAAATGGCCCCAGAGAAGTCATATCTCCAGGTCCTGAGCTGAAAACAATCACCTCTCCAATGGCCTCAGCCTACACGGACTGTAAGATGCCTGTTGTTGAGAGTGGATTCATTTTCTCTGCACATTATGTGGGAATATCTGTAAATAGAAACCACACTCCAAACAGTGGCACAGCCTGCCTGGGTATCTTTGACATGGGAGTGCTCAAGTCTTCTTAGTCATTCCCCTTGTTCAATGCAGTCCTCTAGAATCAGGAGCAGGAGCTTCACCATGAAATTGCTTAGTGGACACAATGTCAAGATGGGTCACAAAGTCTTGACCAGAGACCAATGAGTCAGATGGGCAATGAGCTGCACCATGCTGGCTCCTGGGGACTTGACTCCTCTAGGGGCTTCTAGGTTTAACTTTTCAGGTCAAAAGATTCTGGCCTCTACAAATGGCAAGGTAGATCTACACAGCTTCTGGAGATGGTTTGAGATGCTGTTCAATGAGTACATAAGCTATATGCATCTATTTGATGGGCAAAAATGAAGCCTATCAATGTGGACTGACTGGGTTATATTTCTGATGTAAGTCTTCATGAATACAACCACTTGGAAAGTATTTTGACTGAAGATATGCATAGCCTTTGAGACAGCAATTTCTATTTTTACCTTGTATACTCTAGAGGAACTTGTGTAATAATGTTTATTATAACCTGTGCTAGTTAATTTTCATTGTCACCTTGACATCCCTAGGAAGAGGGAATCTTAACTGAGAAGTCACTCTCATCAGATTGGCCTGTGGGCTTGCCTGTAAGAGATTGTCTTGATTAGCGATTGATGAGGGAGAGCCCAGCCCACTGCAGGCAGCACCACTCCGAGGCAGACAGATCTGAGCTGTCTATGAAAGCAGACTGAGCATGGCTCTGAGAGTGAGCCAGTAGGCAGCATTCCCCCACAGCTTCTGCCTGAGTTCCTCCTCGGACTTTCCTCAATGATGGATTGTGACTTGGAAGTGTGCGATGAAGTCACCTCTTCTTCTTAAGTTTTGTTTGGGCATGCTGTTTATCACAGCAACAAGAAAACTAACCAGAACATAGCCTTATCAGTATTAGTAAAAACTGGTAACAACTTAAATGTCTACAAGTAGAGAATAGTTTAGTTTAGTTTATGTGGTAAAATACTATATAGCCCACATATCAGTGTAAGTAAAAAAAATCATGTCATGCAAAATCAAAAGCAAATCATAGAAGGATGCCTGTGAAGATACATGTAAACTTTAAGGGTATATAGAATTGTTGTAGACTGGCTGTGGAAATATGTCTATGTAGAGCATCTCAAAGAATGCATTAGCAGGATAAATCCCCAATTCAGGATAACAGTTTCTGTAACCCCCAACTTGCATATTGGAAACTAATATTCAGGAGTGACTCCCTGGAAGTGATTAAATCATGAGGAATCCATCCTTGTGAACGGAGTTGGTGCCTTTATAATAGAGGCTCAAGATGGTTCCTTTGCCCTTTCCCTGTGGAATCTTCTGGTGCCTTCATCTTGGCCTTCCCAGTTGTAGAGCTGTGAGCAATAAATTTCTTTTGCTTATAAATTACTTAGTCTAAGGTACTTTGTTATAGCACCAAGAGAAGGCAGCCAGTGGCTGCCTTTGAGAAAGGAATAGGATGTGACATCAGAGAGCACTTTATTCTGTAATATTACTGGATATGTAATTATAAGCTTGAGATATTTCCAAATTAAAGAGACATTGTAATTGGTGTCTGAATCCAATGAGGCAGATTGAAGCTGTGTGTGAGTACTTCACACAGTGAGTCTGTGCCACTAGCTTTTGGATCTTCATACCAATGACTCCTAAGGCCATCAGCAGCCTATCTGGAGATGTTTGTAAAGCTCCATGTTCATGTGCTTCGTCAGAGCATAGAATACGCTCGTATAGCCCAGTGAAGAATAACTCAAAGTTGATTGTGCAATTAGGGCGACTGTTGAAGTAATTCAGAGGCTGAGGGACTTCTTCTCACCATCAATTACCCCACCAGAAGCAACCTAGCTCTCTACTGGATATCACATGTTTACAGTCCTATGGTTTGCTTTAGGAGACATGCTTCATGCTTTAGAGGTGAGTCTTTGTGAGCATGTCTGTAGAAATCTTACTTGTTCAGTCCAAGGATGCCTAAGGCTAGTTTGTACAGTTTGGGTAGTGTAGGTCTGAACTGTGCCCATCCTCCACACACCAGGAGCCTGCTCACAACAGAAGAGTCAAAGGGACATGGGGACTTCAAATTCCATAGACTCTGGGCTTTTCTTTATCACCCTGTGTGAACTACCTGTGTAAGGGAATGTGTATGTGCATTCGTATACAAGTGTATGGTGGCACTATTGAGCCCTGAGGTTTCAAGCTGGTCTGGCCCAGTCTCAGCAGCCCCTTTAGGCTGCTACTTATCAGGGGAATTTGGAGGTGAAATTCTCATCCCTACCAGCTGGAGGCACTGATGTACATTGTCTAGGGCAACTTGAAACCATTATTCCCCAGTGGCCTGACTCATCTAGCTATGCCCAGTGGTTTAAATGGTCACGGCCATGAGGTGGGGACAGTTCACCTCCAAGAGGCTAGGTGTACATATTCAGGACCCAGTTTTTCAGCTGCATCTATGAACAAAGACCCCTTGCAGCCCCATTCACAGGCTAGTGATAGGATAAGGAGGGTGCCTGAGAAGGTTCCTTGTTCCCCTGGTTTGGTTACAACTGGAATTCCTGAAGGGAGTTCATCTTCTTGGCTCCTGTTACCACAGATCCCCCAAATGCATGGCTGAAACCCCTTCCTCACGTTTAAACGAAACGTGCCTCTGCCGTTGCTGCAGGCATGCACGGTGCTTTCCATGCCTTTGCCCACACCGCGTCCCTTGATTAATAAATCATGCTGCTTTGCAAGGCTCGTTTCAGACGGCGTCTCTCCTTGACACATGAGGGCAGAGCCTATACCCCTTTCCCAGGCCTCCCTACAGGGGCTGGCAAAAACACCTGACACACAGTTGGGTTTGGGTGTAAAACTGCATGAAGCTGATCAGGCCCAGCGGATCTGCCAGGGCTCCCTCACATGTGGAAACCACAGAGCCTTACCTTCGGAGTGAACATGTGCAGGATGCCGTCAACCGCCCCTCGCAGCAGCAGCCCCCGAACCAGGAAGCAGGCCAACACCACATAGGGGAAGAGGGAGCTGAAATACATTACCTGCAGAGAAGACAGAGGCCCCTGTCAGGCAGAGCCCCTCCTACAGCTGGCACACCCCCTTCCCTGCTCACAGCTGGGGCCCATGATCGTCCTCTGATAGCAGGCAGCTGAACTTAGAGCCTGGAGCCCCTAGGCACTGAGCCAAACCCACCATCCATCTGGCCCAGGCAAGGGCAGAACAGGCTGGAGACAGCATGGCTGTGCCTGGAGTTGGTCTGCTTTCAAGGGCTGGCAGGACTGAATTAGCAGGCCACACTCATAAAGGCTGTTATGGGGTGAAGAAGCACTATGTTTTCCATTCTCACTGTCCCAGCCTCACGTCCCCAGTGGACTCCGCTGTCCTTAGGGGTCCTATAGCAGAAGGCATCCAGGAGATCTTGGCACTGTTCCCCAGGAAAGCCCATCAGAAGAGGGCCTAGCCCCTAAGGATCCCGAACCTGACCCACGTGATACTTGTTAGCTGGCATATATCATGCACATTTCTACGGCCCTGTATGCCTGGTACAGCACCATACACAAAGCATTTGATCATGGGACTTCAGCTGCAGTGAAGCAAACCCTGGGGTACTAAGGACAGGGCAGCCGAAGGGCTATGCGGACACATCCTGAGCTATCTGCATGAGTGCTGATCCTGCAGCTGCCATCAACCAATCCTGGGGCCTCAGGCTAGCTACTCAGTATGCGTCCATCTCTAAAGGACTGCAATATTCTTAACTCATAGCGCTGGTGAGAGCCAAGGATGTGCAGATGTGGCAGTTCTGATAAATGCCATGAAGTGTCAGCTACTATTTTGGCCTCCAGAGAGGGAGGAGGTTGGTGGCTGAGATGATGCCACCTTTCTACAACTCAGCATCCTTACTCATCAAGTCTGACAAACTGAGCTCCAGTCCCATCCCAGACAGACGAGCCATACCACATTAGATGAGGTACTTTCCCCAGTATAGACCTCAGTTTCCTCATCAATCAAATGAGCTGGGGGGCTATCGGATGTCTGTCATCCCTTCCATCCCTGGGAGCCTGTGAATTCTATGAGGTCAAAAATAATAAAGATTGGAACTGCTGGGAAAGGAGGACGGGGTTCAGCTATTGTGACCGTCATTGGCTGGACTGTTTGGGGGTCTCAAAGGTCTCAGCTGCTCTAATAGCTCTGTATCTGCAGACAGCACAGGGCAGAGTTTCACCAAAAACTGCTTAGACTACCCGATACAAGGGCTTTTCCCTGAGGAGGCACCACCTAGACAAGGGGCACCCAAGGTACAGAGCAGGCCTGAGCTATGAGTACCAAGGCAGATAGGGGTCCCAGTAACGACTCTCCAGCAAGCTCATCCTTAGGCTGTCTGTGCTGGTAATGCTCCTACCATCCCATGAGGCCAAGGCTGCCACTCAGGTATCCTTCCTTGGTGGCCTGGGTTCCAGGCTCTGCTCTCTGGGTCCCTCCTGCCTTGTCCCGCTCACCTTTCCAGAGGACTGGATGCCCTTGACTACGGCCATGCCCACGATGCTCCAGGCCACAAGGAGGCAGAGTGTCATCTTCCAGTTGAGGCCCCCGCTCTCTGAGATGGAGTTGGAGATGTCCAAGGCCTCCCGATACCAGAAGTAGGTAGTGGCTGAGCTCTTCTCACACTCGGACTCCACCACTGAAATCACAGCAAAGGCCCCGAGGCCTCAGATTCCAGCCCTACGGGCCATCTCCTGTGTGGGACCTGCCCAGGCAGCAGTGGGTGAGTGGGTGGCTGAGGGCAAGCTGGGCCATGACCTGGCAGGTTCTGAGGAATCCTGGACCTCTGTTGGGGTCTAAGAGGTTTGGGGCCACAATCACATGGCTGGATTCCCATCGAGACCATCTTCTGCTCAATAATTTACAACGAAAGTGCCAAGTTTGTCTAAAGGTTCTTGGGTGAGGCCCTGAGACAGAGACTGGAATCCAGATATGAGATCGCTGGTTAAATGGAAATTATGAACATGGGAAAGTGGTCTCAGGATCTGTTTTCCCATCTATAGAGTGGGACAGTCTGCTGCACACAAGTTAAAATTGCTCTTATACATATGCTATTGGAATAACACAGTAGTTCATGATAACTAAACAAAATCCAGTGCCTGAGACCTCTGTGTGCTAGGCCAGCAGGAGATCAGTAGGTCATTCCCTCAGGAGAAAGAGGAAAAAATGAGGACCAAGGTGTGAAGTGCTTTCTCCAAGGTGATTGAGTGAACCAATGAAACCCCAAACCTGAGCACTAAACAGTTTAGACTCCTTCCTGGGATGAGGCTGGCTGGAGACCACAGCTGAGGCTCCTCGGGGGTCCCACACTTGCCTGCCACTGTCCCATTCCTGATGACAGGACATTCACTCCAGGGCAGCGGGTACTGGAAAGACTTGAAGAAGTAGAAGACACTCCACCCAATGATCACATTGTAGTACAGCCCAACGAAGAGGCAGACCTGAGGACAAGGGCCAGGGTAAGGTCATGGAGGCTGCAGGTAAAGCCACCCCTCCCTGCACTCCATCCAAGGCCCAGCATCTCAAAACCAGCCATAATGGAGGATGGGGGGGGATGAGATGGATGGGGGCGGGTGTTCCCTGTCCTCCTCCCTTCATCTGGTACTCAGGCAGTCCACAAAGGAATTCCTGGGATATTAAAATTTTCTCCTTTAAGCAATAAACTCTTAAAATGTTAATCCTTTCCAGTTTGAAATTCCTGTAAGACAACTGCAGCCCTTCCCCCATCATTTCCTGATGACTCGGCATTCTAATTAGAGATGCCCTCCAGGACTGTGGAGACACACCACAGCGTTGGTCCTTACAGGCCCAGACGGTGGGGCTTTTTGAGATTGCGTGGATCGATGGTTTTCCCTTTCCTTGGGTGCTACTCTTTCTTTGGAACTGCAAGCAGCCACCCCTAGAGACACAGCAACTAAGCTTGGCAGAGTTTTATTAAAATAGGAGGGGCTAGCAATGTTTAATAGGCAGGGTTTGGCTGCATCTGCTCCCGATGCTCAAAGGTCCCTTCCAGAGGCCTGGCTACCCCAGATAATTGAGATTGCTCATTGGTGTGACTGCAGAGGGCCCCTGATTTCTTCCCTTTCACATGAGCAACTGTGCGGAGGAGCACGCGTTCACTCACATACACAAAGAGAAAATGAGCGAGGGGGCTGTGCTGGGACACACACACACAGAAACACCCATTTCCTTAACTGCGGTGTTTTCAGTCCAAGTAGAGGGCTCCCCTGCTCCTGCATGTGCACACACAGCCAGCCTGGCGTTTACACTGTAGCTGCCCAGAGTAAGACGGGCAATGGTGATGGTTTGACAATAGGATAATCCTCCTACCGTGTTTGACAGACTCCTCAGTCCCCTGAGAAGTGAATTCCAGTGTTTTTCTGAAGTGTAAGGGTGGACACTTCACTGCAGGCTTCACCTTTAAGGGATGCTCAATTTCCTCTGCTGTATACAGCTCTCAGCAAGATTTCATCTCCAGCCACACAGAGGAGTCCAGAAGTCCCTATCCAAGGCACAGCAGACCTCCCAAAACCTCGTGCCTCCTGGGTTGACCACAGGACTCCTGTCTGAATATTGCAACTGTTCTTTTGAAGGGCACTCTAGCAAGGGGTCCTAAGCCATGCACGTTTGAAATTCACTTCTCAGGGAAAGGGAAAGGAATTCATGAGGCGCTGAAGGCTGGTAAGGAGTGGTGGGGGCCTGGGATAGTCCTTCTGTCCCTGGATAGTAAGTACTGAGATATCCCTGTGAGCATGCCCCATTTTTCCTCTTTTGATCTTTTGTGAATGTCACATATGGTTTCTGGCAGTGCCATCAACTTTCAGTTTAGGAAGTATGGTGACTATGGCCCAGAGACACCAGCTGTAAGTAATTCCAGTGATGATCCCTCTTGCAATGGCCCAGGACTCTGGCCTGTAAACCTGGTGACCTCCTCTACACTATCCAAAAGCGGTCCCTCTGCCTCCCACACACTGCCAGCCCCCCGCTCTGGACTCACAATACAGCTGGAGAAGCCGATGCCCCCCAGGCGGGGGCACACGTAGTGCCACACACCGATGCTGCCACGGCGGATCCGCTGGCCCATAGCCAGCTCCAGAAAGAAGAGGGGGATGCCAATGATGATCAGCAGCACCAGGTAGGGCACCAGGTAGGCACCTGCGAGGACGAGAGTGACAGCGTGAGGGGAGGGGTGGCAGCCAGGCCCTGCAGTTTCAGCCACAGTGTGTGGGCAGTGACAACAACGGAAGGGAAGGGGTGGCAGCCACGCCCAACAGACTCAGCCACGTCGGGCCATCTGGAGCTTCTCTGCGAATGGTGTGGCTCACGGCTGTGATCTCTCCAACACCCATCCAGACCTTTCCTCTCCTTGATCCTCTGACTTGAGATGTGAAACGGGGAGCAGATGGATGCTACTGCCTTCCACTTGCAAGGCTGGGTTCAGAAGCTGGTTCCTCACTGCCTCTCAGGGAGCCACATGTCAAGTCACAGGCACCGGTCTCTCACCTGTCCACAACCGTCCCAGGGGTCACAGGTCCCGCTCACACATTCCCAGGGGCTCACTCCCACACACCCTCCCACGCTGTGGCCCAGCCTCCTGGCCTTTGAGACAGATGCTGACACAGCAGACTGAGCAAGTCTAGAGGAGCCGAGCTTGGAAACTCTCCAGGGAGAGGGTCTGATCAGCATCACCATTAATCCACAGCTAATTGGGAGGAATGGAAGAGAAATTAGTTGTTCAGGAAAGCGTGATAAGGGAATCATAAAGGATGGAATGATCTTGCTAAAGATTACAGATAACAAATTAATCTTGCTGTCTTAAACTTAGCTACAGACACGATCTCAATTCCAAGTGACAGGGCATTTAGCAAGAGAATTAAAGCCACAGCTGGACATGGATGATTGCACCCCACCAAGAGTCGTGCCAAGAACACAGCCCTGTTAGCAACACTATCAGCCGGGACCTGCCTGTCAAATTGTCTTGCTGGTTCCTGTCTCCTGGGCTACCGAGCACCTTCAGGGAAACCCTCTCAAGAGAGGAGTCTCCAAAAGCCCAGTACTGCCCCCACCCCCGTCCCCTGTAACTCACCCTTCTCAGGTGCATGCCCAATCTGTCAATGAACGCTGGAGGTCAGGCAACTACTAGACACAAAATCTGCCAGTCAGCAACAGAAGCTGTCCACCATGAGTCTCCTGTATACCAGACTCCAGCTTTGGGGGTGCAGGAGTAACAGAAGGCCCAGATGCCATCCTGGGAGACCTTGTGGGAGGCATCGCTCAGATTCATTTGGGCAATGTCAGCAGGCATGTGTATACACACATCCTGGATTGGTCACACCACACGAGGCCACCTGAACACACATCTGCTGAGGGAACTCCTGGGGAGAGCCTTCCAAGAGAAGCTTCCCTCTGATCCTCACAGAGCAGCAGCATCTTAAAACACACACACACATGCACACACAGGCACACATGTGTACACACATGCACATGCACACTCATGCACACCCACTCATGTACTTACTCATTGATCCTGTCACTCACAAGCAGTCCTATCAAGTTCTCCGGAAAGGAAGGGCCTAAGGAACCATGGGCGAGCACCCTAGCCTGTGTTGGTCTTTGGAGAGAGGCAGCAGCAATGGAAGCAACGTAGTGCAGGAAGACAACAGGAAGGAGCCTCACTGGCTTTTTATTTTGCCTCAGTGTTCTCAGGAGGGGCAAGTTGAACAGGGAGATGAGTGTCAGATGAGATACACTTGTGTCTCCTACACATGGTTCTCTCCTCTTCCCACAACCTGGGGAGCCCCTCTAAAAGTGATCTGCAGAAAAAAAACCTGTGGATTGGCCTCCTGTGGCCCAGGCTCCTTCTGTCCTAGTCATGACTGCAGGTCATGGCCTCATGGAGTTTAGTCTGGCCAGAGGGCTCAAGGCCAGGGCACTTAGGTGAGCTGAATTGATGGTTAGTAAAAGGCACTTTTGTGTGTCAGTCATCACTGAAATCATGCAGCACCCTCTTCCACTTTGGAAAACATGACTTGGGGACAACTGGATTTCTTCTGATGCCCCCGTGTCTCTCAGGAATGAACAGCTGGGAGCATCATCAAGGACGCTGGGGCATTTAGCAGAAAACAACCACAAGTGAATGGAGCCTGGCTCTCCATTCTCCAGATTCCTGTCTATACACCACGCCTTGCTTTTGGCATAGCCCATTTATTTCTGGGGCTTAAGAGCCCCCTTTTTGCCCCAGTTATTTGAGATATGAATTGAAAAGGAGCTGAGACCCGACTCTGGGGTCAGATCATCAAGATGGGAATCCTGGTTCTGCCACCTACTTTGCAAATTTGGGCAAATTATTTGAACTCTCTTTACTGTTATTTTGCCATCTATATAGATAGAATGAAAACATTAGACAAAACCATATGAAATAGCTGATATGTGTCCATGTTTTTTTTTATTTACAAAAATGTCAGTTCATACTCCACTCTCTAAAGGGCATTGTGAAGAAGGAATGAGTTATTTGAACAGGAAGACTAAGCAAGAATGCTGCTGTCCAACCCTCAGGAGGTCTGGCTGGCAGAGGTGGGTCCGTGGTGGGCCTTTGGGAGGTACAGCCTGTCCCTGACTCTGACTTACTGTTTCCTGCCTCTCTGCTTTGTGATGAACTTCTTAACACACCTCCTCTGACACGAGACACGTTCACATTACCACCTCAACAGAGCTCCCCCGAAACCCTGAACCAAATTAAGTTCTTCCTCTCTCAAGTTTCTTCTATTAGCTACATTGTTCCAATAATGATGTATGTGTCCTTCTCTAAATGGAGCAGACATTTTGGGAGTGGCTACCATGTTATGAATCGCTTGGAGAAGGCTTTAAGAAACTGAGTCAAAATGCCTACAAAGCTGTAGCCATACAACATGATGGATTGTGGGGTTCCTAGAGCAGGGGATTCAGGGTCTATGAAGTTCCTGGGTGGATAGATTTCTCAGGAACACAAATGTGAACTTTCCTTGTTAACTTTGACTGACAGCCACGTGAAAAGGGAATCTCTGTTGAGAAATCTCCCGGATTGGACTGTTCTCTGGGCATGTGTTGTGGGGAGTTCCTTGATTAGTAATTGATCTAGGAGAGCCCTGCCCACTATAGGCAGCAATGTTCCCTGGTAAAGTGGCTGGGGCTACACAGGAAAGTTAACTAAGCATTATACTGTGAGCAAGCCAGCAAGCAGTGTTTTCATTTCTTGAGATGTTCTTGCTTGATTTCCTGCCCTGATTCCCCTCAATAATGGACTGTCACCTGGAAGTTAAGCCAAATAAATCCTTTTCTTACTGAAGCTGCTTTTAGTCAGAGTATTTTATCATAAGAGGAAAGAAACTAAAACACGAGCCTACTAAAGTTTTCTTTATTTTCTGTAATTTTCCCGTCATTTCAAATTAGTCTGTGTCTGGGAAATTCTGGTAAACTTCCACACTCTGGAAAGACAGTGCCTAGGGATATCTATCTGCTCTGGGTGCTTTGTCAGCACTGATGACAAATTCATAGCATGCCACACGCTCCAGAGGAATTTGCATTCAGGTGCAGTGTGAGGACCCACTACAGGCAGCCAGCCCAGGTGGTGTACAGTGCACAGGCCACACCCATCAGGTGGAATCACATCGCTAGCAATGAACCTCCATGTCACGTGACCTGGGAAAATTACCCAACCTACCCGTACCTCAGTTTTATAGTTTCTAAAGACAATGCCCTTCTCCTTACACAAGGTTGCTAGGAGGAACTGATGGATGAATGATGTGAAACTGGTACTTTGGTTGTCCCAGGATGCTCACATAGGAGGCGTTTCAAGCAGTTGAGCCCAACATCCATTAAGTGCTTAAACCAGCACTTCGTATCTCATAAGTGTTTGATAATAACAGCCAACAGTTTTTCTTACCAAGGTAGTATATAAAACTCACTTGATACTTACAACTATCAAGAGTAGGCAGCAAGTACTCTTACTTTCAATTTACAGAGTAAACACTGACAGTCACAGGGGTCTAGCAGGTTGGACTAGGTCTCTGGCTTGATTGGCTACAGCTAGGATGGGACCTGAACCATTGCAGCCTGGAGCCAGAATCCCCATTCGTATCATGGTCTCCAGGCATTTTATACCTATGAGCCACTCTCTGACTCTACGAGTCTTTTTGTTGTTGTTGTTTTTCAATACAGGATTTCTCTGTGGCTTTGGAGGCTGTCCTGGAACTTTCTCTTATAGACCAGGCTGGTCTTGAACTCACAGAGATCCACCTGCCTCTGCCTCCCGAGCACTAGGATTAAAGGCGTGTGCCACCACCGCCCAGCTGACTCTATGAGTCCTGTTCTGGAATTCTGCACTCCTATCTCCAAGGACTTCAGTTCTGCCTCAGAAAATGCATGGTCCTTTCTACCCTAGCCCAACCCATTTTCCAGGTACCCTCTTACCTCCTCCATTTTTCTGGCACAGGTAGGGAAACCTCCAGATGTTGCCAAGTCCCACCGAAAAGCCAATCTGGGCCAGGATGTACTGCAGCTTGCTATTCCAGGCTGGTCGGTCCTCTGCATCGAGCTCCTCCTCCGCTGCCTTCTGCTTGCCACCTGTCTCGCCGGCCACATTCAGTACACTCTGCTTATAGTCTACAGGCTCCTCGAGGGCCAGCAAATCAGCCACGGACTCCGTGACATGCTCATTGCTGTGTTCGCGCTGGGTCACCTTGCTGTTTTTCGGCATGGGTGCCACTGGGGCTGTGTAGCCCTGTCCCCCAGCACACAGAGAAAGTGGGGCTCAGCTCCTGTCAGCTCTTTCTCATCCAAAGGCCTGTGAAAGCAGATAAGCAGCAGAAGATTGGCTGACAAGGCCAGGAATAAGGAGCCCAAAGTAGACAGACAGAACCCAAATCAAGTCCCTGGTACATATCCCATACTGGCCCCAGGTTCCCAAGTGTTGAGCTCACCTTTGTCCCCACCAGGATGCTCAATGGGGAGCTGAAAGTAAACACACATTGTTTCCCCATAGGTGTTACCTGGGTATCACTAGAAAGTGCTGGAAGCCTACTGAGGCAGAACCAGCAAAATCCAAATACATGACATCAATCTTTTATAATGCTCAGCCTAGAGTGTTCAAGACCTCTGGAGATACCCACACCCTTCCGTTTCCAAGGTAGCATGGCAGCGGCTCGCACCTAACCCCTATTGTGTTTACTTTACCAAAGCCTCTTGGTGGGACCATAGTATGTCAGTTAATTTCAACTGTCAGCTTGTTGAATTAAGGAACAACATCATGAAGTACACTTTTGAGTGTTTTAAGAGGGCATTTCTAGAGAGGACAGAGTGTGTGTGGGGGGTAATATCCACCCCGAATATGTGCCATACCATTCCATGGGCTGAAGTCCCAGATGGAGTAAAGAGGGTAAAAGGGAGGAAAATAAGTCAGCTCTCTGGGCTTCCTAGACTGCTCCTTGCTGCCGATGCCCCTAGCTGCCCCCATCACCATGCTTTCCCCTTGAATGACTGTGTTTCCTTAATCTATAAGTCTATGGTAGTTTGAATGCAATTGGCCCCCATAAGTTCATAGGGAGGGGCACTATTAGGAGGTGTGGCTTTGCTGGCATAGGTATGACCTTGTTGGAGGAAGTGTGTCGCTGGGAAGACAGGCTTTGAGATCTCATAAATGCTCAAGACACACCCAGTGAGACAGACCACTTCCTGTTGCCTGCAGGTCAAGGTGTAGGACTCTCAGCTCCTTCTCCAGCACCATGCCTGCCTTCATGCCACCATGATGATAATGGACTAAACCTCTGAAAATGTAAGCCACCCCAATTAAGTGTTTTCCTTTATAAGAGCTGCTGTGGTCATGGTGTCTCTTCACAGTGACAGAGATCCTAACTAAGACAAAGTCCTTCTTCTCTTAAGTTGCGTCTTGTCAGGTCTTTGGCTATAGCCATGAGAAAGTAATACACACAGGAAGCCGGTGTCCGACTTCTCGAAATTCTTCCTGTTAAGCATAATCCATGGCCCAAAGCATCACCAGGAGTTCAGTAGAAATGAGAGCCTACCTATGACTCAGAAAGCTCCCTCATCTCACTATGGGGCTCCTGGATGGTAGCTACTGAGTCCCTTTCATTTCCCTGGGCAGGAAAGCTGCCCAGGCTCAGCGATGGATTCTGGCACCAGAGCCCTAGAAACATTTCCTTGGTGCCAACAAATCCTGGGTCATTGCTCAGCGTTGACATTATCTGAGGGCCACTGCAGCCAAGACCTGGTTCTCCATCCCTCAGTGACAGCTTTATGGCAGATAATGTCTGTTCAACATGGGTGGGGGTGGCAAAACCTCCCCTGCTGCTGCCATCCCTCATTTGTCTTTTACACTTTCCCTTAAAGAGAGAGAGCACCAGGAACGAGTGCTTTGAAATCGTATTTCAAGGCACCTCCTCGTTAAGGAGAGGCTGGAGGATTTAAAATTAAACACACACACCCCAGCCTTCCGTTGCCCTGCATCTTTCTAGGGATGTAAATTAGCCAGCTCTGTAATTACTTTATTAAGGGAACAAGCCGTCTCTGGAAGCCAGGCTTGCTATTCTTCTCATGTGTCTATGCCCCCTGAAAAGCACAGGCAAGGTCACTTGTGTGAAATAAGGGCACCAGGCATTCTTTCTTCTGGAGTTGATACAACTCTGCTGGCTAACCAAGCTAGGACCTGTCCAGGCCATCCCTGCTACACATATGATAAAGCCTTGGGGCCCATACTATGTGGGGAAACCATCCATGCTAGTTTGCGAGACTGGCTAGCTCTACCCAGGTCAGGCTGTGGACCACATCAGCAGGTGACACTAACCTGCTCTTTTTGTGCAAGAACAGCAGTGGATCTTTACAACTGTCCTTTCCACCCCAGGAACAAGACATGAAGGTCTTGGGCTTTGAAGGAACTGGGACAGAGTCAGCCTGCCTAAAAGAACTCAGAATTCCCAATAAGAAATTCTGTTGAGACTCCATAGAGGGCTAGCTGAATATTCCATTGCATACTGGAGGATGCCCCAAGTTCACATGGTAGCTTAGTTGTACTTCCCATTGTGTCCTAGAGGGTGCCCAAGGTGGCGCTCGTGTGCCTGTGGGCTCTTTAGCCCTTGGGGCTCTCTTCCCAGCTGCTGTCTAGCCCATGCTACACAGTGAAGGATACCCTAGGCGTTATGCATAGGAAGGCCTGCGTCTGGGCCTGAGATGCCAAGGTGAGTGCCCCCAGGGACATGCAGAAGGTCTCTGACCCCATGTCACTCAAATGGAGGAAGCCTAGGGCATTTAAAAGAACTCCTTGTCTGGGAACCTGCTCCTACCCTGCAGCTAACCTTGAAAGCTTTTACTGAGGGTTAAAGCCAGGGATACTGGTTGGTGGGCTGTGGGTGTGGGTCCAGAGATTTCAATCTGGAATGCTTTGCCTTAGAATTTCCTCCAGCTACCTTCCCCACATAGGACTTCACAGAGCATTCTGCAATGCATTAGGTCTGTTCTACTGATCATTAGGCCCAAAGTGGAGAAAGCCAGGGGAGATTCCCACCAGCTGCAGAATCCATCTCAATGCTAACCAACTAGAGCACATGTTTCCCCATAAATACCTGGCGAGTAGCAGCTCTAGTCACTAATGTGAAAAAGAAAAAAAAAGTACCACCGTTTTGAGCTAGGAGCATTCAAGGACAAAAGCGACAGACACAGTTGGAAAGCCAGAGGGCAGCCACAGCTGCATGGCCAGCAGCCTCAGGGTTGCAGGAAGGAGGCAGGCACACCAGGATCTGTTCTGGGGAAAGCGATACCGCAGTGAGTAAAACAGACCCTCTTGTGTAGTTGACATTTCTTTCAGAGGGCCAGATACTAAAGAAATAAGAATCAAGTGTAATACCCAGGCGTGATATGTGCAGAATGGAACCACCTGCCCTCATGCTGGGGGGGAATCAGGAAGGGCATTATGGTGGCTCTGGAGCAGAGCCCCAAATGACAGGGGAGAGCACTAGCAGAGATAAGTCATACACCCACAAATACACACACCACATGTGAACTCGTGTGCATACACATGCATTCATACGTGCACATATGCACTCCTCCCCTCCCTCCCCAGTTTGTGAAAAGAAGTAGTATGAGTAATTCAAGAACAGCGACGTGGTCCAAATGGCCAGGGTGAGCAGAAAAAGCATGACTGGGGCAGGGGTGGGGGTGGGGGCAAAGACTTGGACGGGCAGGCATTCTTTTCTTTTCTTTTTTTTTTTTTTTTTTTTTTTTGGTTTTTCAAGACAGGGTTTCTCTGTGTAGCTTTGTAGAGCAGGCTGGCCTTGAACTCACAGAGATCCCCCTGCCTCTGCCTCCGCAGTGCTGGGATTAAAGGCTTGCACCACCACTGCCTGGCTTGGATGGGCACTCATGATGAGGTGCTGACCCACTGGAGGATTTGGGTACATGCTACCTGTGTGCTCCTGGAAAAGACCCATTAGTAACCCAAGGACTGACCTTGTGATGAAAATGGCTCTATGTAGCGACAGGCTCCCTGTCCTGGAAAGCTACTGGCAGATGTAGCAAACGGCTGGCTGGCAGGAAGTGCTCAGCACACGGGCACAAAGCAAGGACCCAGCGCCAGCATCCGCAGCCTGAAGCAAACACCAGGACACTAGAACCCTGAGAGGTCAACCTCTCTCCGTTCCGTCTCGTGGGACCAGCCGAGAGTCAGACACGTCGCCAGGACCCTAACTCCACAGGACCTCAGTTTCCCTGAGTGCAAATGAGGAATCTGCACAACCTCCCAGCACACCTCCAGAGAGCGTCCCTCCTGCATGTGGGTATAAACAAAGCACGGCCGCCCAGGCACGGGTGTAGCAGGCTCTGCAGTCTGTCTGCCCTACCACTCTCCATCAGCTGAGATCCTGCTGGAGTGCAGTGAGGAGGTGGCGACAACCAGCCTAACCACACTCTAGTTATCCCCCTGTAGTAGCCGGGGTAGGTTGTAAAGTCTTTCACAAGCAGCATCTCAGACGATGAAGTCGCAAGGTACTTGATGCACACACACGGAGGGGCTCGAGCGCAGAGCAAGCCTTCAGTGCCAGCTTGTCACTTAGCAACCCGTGTGGCTCGGAGCTCAGAATAGCTCATGTGAGAAAAGCAGGACTGAGCAGTGAACTGTGAATCTTCTTTAAAGGAGAGAAAAAAATACAGCGAGACTGGGAAGCAGACAGGTAAAAATATCTCCTGCCAGGACTCTAATGGCACCACAACAAAGGTTCAAGCACCACACCTTGGTAATCAGCCATGGATGGGCAGGGTGTAGCTGTTCTCACCCTGTGAGCTGGGCCACGCCCAGAGCCCCTTACCCCAAAGTCACTAATACAGAGGAAAGGCTCTTCTGAAATGCTTATTAGCTCCTCTGGATCTGGGGTTCTCTTGTTTGGGAAGGTTGTATCGGGTCATTTAAGGCATGAGCTCGCCGGGCGTTGGTGGCACACGCCTTTAATCCCAGCACTCGGGAGGCAGAGTCAGGCGGATCTCTGTAAATTCGAGACTAGCCTGGACTACCAAGCGAGTTCCAGGACAGCCTCCAAAGCCACAGAGAAACCCTGTCTCGAAAAACAAAAAACAAAAACAACAACAAAAAAAAGGCACAAGCTCCCCAGAGAAGGTGGGTGAACAAGATGCCATCTTTGGGAAAGCATGCAGTCAGTGCACACACTCCCCAGTCTGGGATGTGCCTAAATCTGCTCCCTAAAGTTTTTGGCCCTGGAAAGCATCCTGTGACTCAGTCCTTCTGAAGAAAACCCTTTACACTGAGGCAGACACTAAGCAGGA